CCCGGGGTCTATGTTCCCCGCCCACAACCCACTGGTTGCGCTCTACGCCGCAAGCTGCGCCTTCACCAGCACCAGGGTTCCCATACCACTGGGGTTCCCCCTGCGAATACTGCGCCCCCTGGCATCAGGGCACTACAATGGGCGCCCTCCCGCTTAATTGACATCAATGTACGAATCAATAATCATCAAAGGCGTGGCGGGCGAGATAGGCGGGCGATTGCCCAGAGACAGGTGGGCGGGCCACAAAGAGCTCGGCCCTGAGTAGGCCCCCCTGTCACACCCATGACTAAGGAAAATCAGGCCAAGATCATGTTCGGGACACCATGGGAATTATATGAATTTATGTGGCTGCCTTTTGGATTACACGGGGTGGCAGCCACTTTCTAGAGGCTTATGGATCATATATTAATATCACATATGGCAGGTGCAGCCACGTACATAGACAATATTGTAATCTATTCGCAGTCCTGGGATCAGCACATCCAACATGTAAAGGCAATACTTAAAGAGTTGTGATATATAGGGATGACCGTGAATCCCAAAAAGTGTGTGTTGGGAATGGCTGAAGCTAAATATTTCGGTTTTTTGGTAGGGCAAGGGATCATTTGGCCTTTGGCCAGTATAGTAGAAGCTATGGAGAACTATTGACCTCCTCAGACCAAGAGACAAATTAGGTCATTTTTAGGGTTGGCCAACTACTACCACAGGTTTATACCCAATTTTGCAGAAATAGTTTCTCCTTTGATGGACGCAATGAGGTAAAGTAAGGGGACCTGTAAAATGTGCCCCATATATGGAAGAAGTATTTAAGAGGGTTAAGAAGGCCCTTTGTAGTTAAGTTTTAGTGATAATGTCAGATTTTACAAGACCTTTTATCCTCCAGAAGGATGCCTTGGAAACAGCTCTGGGGGCAGTGCTGTGTCAAGAGAGAAGGTGCTGAGAAACTCATTTCTAATGCAAGAAGAAAACTGAATGCTGCTGAGAAGAGGTATGCCACGGTAGAAAGACAATGCCTAGTGATCAAGTGGGTGGTGGAGTATTTTAGATATTATCTAATAGAAGAGAATTTCAGCTCATAATAAATCATACCTCATTGCAGTGGTTGTGAAAAGCTGAAAATGATAATGCTCGCATTATGAGATGGGCGCTTGCCTTACAACTTTTAAAATTGGTGGTGGATGGGTCATTTTCAACCTGGAGGGATGTGGCCAGTGGGGTCCCCCAGGGCTCAGTCCTCAGACCCACACTGTTCAACATCTTCTTCACTGACTTGACGAGGGGATAAAAAGCACCTTATTCAAATTTGCTGATGACACTAAGATGTGGGGGGATGTGGGCATGCTAGAAGAGAGGAATAGGTTGCAATTGGACCTAGACAGGTTACAGGGGTGGGCATATGAGAACAGGATGCGTTTCAACACTGACAAGTGCAAGGTGCTGCACCTGGGAAGGAAGAACCAGCAGCATACCTACACGCTGGGGAACTCTCTTCTCGTCAGTGCAGAGGCAAAAAAGGATCTCGGAATCATTATTGATGCCAAAATGAACATGGGTTGATAGTGTGGGGATACGGTCATGAAGGCCAACCACACCTTGTCATGCATCCACAAATGCATCTTGAGCAGGTCCAAGGAGGTGATCCTCCCCCTCTATGCGGCACTGGTCAGGCCACAGTTGGTAGGTACTACGTCCAGTTCTGGGCACTGCACTTCAGGAGGGATGTGGACAGCATGGAGAGGGTTCATAGGAGGGTCACCCGCATGATCAGGGGGCAGCAGGGCAGGCCCTACGAGGAGAGGCTAAGGAACTTGAATCTGTTCAGCCTCCACAAGAGAAGGCTGAGGGGGGATCTAGCGGCCTGTTACAAACTAGTCAGAGGGGACCATCAGGTATTGGGGGAGTCCCTGTTCCCCCAAACACTGTCAAGAGTGACTAGAAATAACGGTCACAAGCTGGCAGAGGGTATATTCAGACTAGACATCAGGAGGTGCTACTTCACAGTCAGGGCGGCTAGGATCTGGAACCAACTTCCAAGCGAAGTGGTGCTGGCTCCTACCCTGGGGGGTCTTTAACAGGAGGTTAGATGAATACCTTGCTGGGGTCATTTGACCCCAGTACTTTTTCCTGCCGTAGCAGGGGGTCGGACTTGATGATCTGCTCAGGTCCCTTCCGACCCTACCAACTATGAAAATTCTCAATTAACTACAGGCCAGGCGCATCTAATGGAGTGGCCGATTTTTTGTCATGATGTGAGGAGCCTCTGAAGACGTGTAAAAGAATGAGTGTTGACAGCCAGAGGATGATGAATAAGAGTAGCAATAGAGATGCCACCTTAAGAAGGCCACAAGGTGACTTAATTGGGTATGTGGCAATGACAAGATAAATGCATTTAAAAATGACTTACGGGAAGCGTGCAGGAAGCTGTGGCTTAGAGGCGAGCGAGTTGGGTCAGCGCTGATGATAGAAACCCCACCACCAGCGCCAGCACACTTTATAAGCACCTGCCAGCTTCAGTTGGCAGGGAGGAACACAAGCGACCAGATAAAAGATGCTTGTGAGCCTATAACAGGGGGACCAGAATTTAAAACCCAGAGCCACGGAGAGCAGCGTTCTGGCACGGAGTGCCCTGAGAGGACAACAGCATGGACGGATACACACATGAAGTTAGGTGCCTAGGAAGACCAGGTGTTATGATCACCACCATAACACCTGCATGGAAAGGGGTGGAGTATAGGGGAGGTGGAGTCCCACAGAAGACTCTCAGACATTATGACCTGCACTGGTCTCAACAAACCCTATATGATCAGGTACCACCTCCTGGTTGGTGCTGGATTTATGACCCAGATACCTTGTTCCAGGCAGACCCAAACCCTCAGAAAGACCATGACTTCTCCATTTAATAATAGGTGAATTTTATTGATACAGTGATAGCAGATAAGAATAATGTAGGAAAGGCAAACAAAATAACTTCCCCAATTCTATGTCTACCAGTTCTAGGGCTGTCACAGAAGGAAGGTATGTCTGGCCAGTATGCAAGCTTCACTCTCAGGTTCTCACTTGAATGTCAGATGTCAGCAGCCTGGAGGTCGAGGGCTGAGGCCCACTCCCCCAGTGGGGTAGGTGAGACGGGCTGGTGGTGTGCTCTCTGCCCATGGTGGCCTCGGGTTCCCTCCTTAGGATCCTTTGCTACTCTGAAATCCCTCCTTTTGTATTCTTTCTGCCCTCTGATGACTCTTCATCCTGGGCTTTGTTGATTGGTTTTCCTGTGGTCATCATACTGTCCATGTTCTGTTCTGTAAACATATTCATTTGTTTTCCACAAATCCATCACATGCACCATCTTAATTTGGTTATTTATTAGTGTTTTCCTAATTTGGTCTGTTCACCAAAACCAGAGATTCCCAAGGCCTCTGCAGTTGAGCACTGTGACCTAATGCCATCTTATCTTATGTTATGGAACAGTGTGGTACATGTCTTCAATTTCCCAGCCTGTGTGTCTGCCTACTCCAAAAAGAGTGGGCCATGAAGGAAACTTTGTCACAAACAGGCTTTTAGAAACAAATTAACCCTTCCCTTTGCCCTGGGCCATTATTCTAATGCGTATCTACTTTACCTACAAGCCATTTCCTGAAAGCAAACCTCTAAATACCATTTTCTAGCCATCACTCCTGATATCCTTTATAGTTACACCAAGTCATGGTGGGAGAGATACAAAAATAGAGGAATAAGACACCTGTTGAGCATGCAGCATCCGGGCCCCAACCCGGTGTGGCTGCTCAGCCCACATCCATCTACAAGTGGTGCATTGGCTGGGAAACTACAGGACTTGGACAACAACAGTCCTAACCCATGGGCCATGAAAGAAAATCATGGAAGGCACACCCTTTGGTGCAGCTGGGTCTACAGGTCCTAGGCCACAGCCTCAGGAAACCATATTGCAGCTGTTCCAAGAGCTGGTTCATGCCCATGGTGCTTTGTTTTTGTGCCAGCAAGACCTGGCAGAGAAATTAGCTGAGATGCAGGCTATAAATGCCCACGGTCACGGAGAGCCTCGGATGACAAAAATGACAAAAGAAGATTATACCAAGGCATACCTTGAGTCTTTCTAGGGAACTACCTCAGCAGCAGGGTGGGCACCAGCAGATGGATTATCTAGGACACTTGCTGACTAGCCATGCTCAAGCCACATATTGGGCCCTGTTGTGGCTGCATTATATTGCCTTGAGGTTTTCCTCGAACACTATCTCATTCTTTTTCACCCAGAACTGTAAATGAGAGAGAAAACCCTGGATGCTGGCCCAAATGCTCAAGGATGCTGTGGTAAAATGGTTTAAATCTGAGGAGACTCCTCCTCTCAGGATGTTTGACATGGTGGTGCTTGAGCTGTTCATTTGGGATCATGAGGAGCAAACCCAGAAGTGGGTGAAACAGCATTAACCAGGCACGCTAGATGATGCGGTTAAGTGTGACCAATCACACTTGGCTGATGCATTTGCAGAGGTGGATGAAGAGACACCCAGAGAATTTGGTATGAGAGCAGAGACCCAATCTAATGTGCCCTCAGGATGGAGAGAATTTAAGGATGTTAAGCGCAGAGTGGCATATCAAGAAGATAGGTGCACTTGGTGTGGACTGTCCAGGCACCCTATATGGAAAAGCTCTGGGAGTTTCACAGGTCACAACTTAGGGCATGACCCATCCCACAGACAACCTGAAGCCAAACCTACTGACACTGAACAGGAACAAATGGACTTCACTTTTGGGCATGCATGCCTTGGATGGACACACCCATGATCCATCATGAACATACATATGGGTGGATGAACAATTACCATGATGATAGACAGTGGGTGTGCACAGTCCATGATATATGCTGGTGCCCTACAGCCTCACCTGGGGACTCCTGTCAGCAAGACAACTGTAGTCTGAATGCACAGAATACCTATGACATATGAGGGCGGAGGCTTCGGGTCATGATAACAGGTAGAACACACAAGATGCCTATCGAGATTTCTAATGACCTCCCATGCCCTATGATACTAAGGTGGGATTGGTCACACTTCCAGGATGTCTCAGCACACCCTGAAACAAGCAGCAGCAGCTAGCTGTGAGATCACAGAGGTGAGCCATCAAGCAGAAGGACTAGTGGGGGAAACAGCCTCAGGAGAAGAGGAGGACCTCGAGACGCCACAGATAGATATCAAAGAGCTGATGGAGTCTGACTTATTCTGAGAGGACCGGATGGATGAATTGGCCTTTTGCCACATGTATAGCAAAGTACTGGTCTGGTGCAATGAAGAGTTGCTGCAACTGCAGAAGACAAGCCAAGTTCCTCAGTTCGAGATAAGAAATGATCTTGTTTACAGAATAGATAAAGGGAAAGAAGACCAAAAAGACACTGCCCAGCTTCTAGTGCCCCAGAGGTACCAGAAATGATTAATACAGCTAGCTCATGATGGACCCTTGGGTGGGCATCTTGGCTGTGATAAGATGGGGGCATGCCTGATATGGAGATTTTATTGGCCGGGGTTACACAAGGAGGTTGGGTGGTACTGTGAGACTTGCCCGATCTGTCAAAAAGCCTCCGCAGAGAAGCCTCCAGTAGTCCCCTTGATCATGGGCAACTGGTGCCTCCTGGTACTGGGGGGGCACCAGCAGTTGATCGCCAACTGTGGGCAGGAGTCCCCTAGTGGGCAATAACTGCCGCCAGCAGCAAAACCTAAAGTGTTGGCGGCAAACCCAGAAATGCCGCCAGCTCTTCTCTCAGTGCCCCCACAATCTCAGCGGGGCACCAGCCGTCGCCCCCCACTTCCTGGCTGGCAAGGGCCAATCTCGGGGGGGCACATGCCCCCCACCCCCTGCCCCTGCATCGCCTATGCCCTTGATAGTGATGCCTGTTATTGGGAAGCCATTTGACAGAATAGCTTTAGACATCACCGGACCCCTACCTAAATGCAGTGTGGGCTATCAATATATATTAATAATCATGGACTATGTAACGTGGTTCCCTGGGGCCATCCCACTGAGGTCTGAAATGGCCCCCAGAATAGCCGATGCACTGCATAAACGAATAGCCAGGGTGGGCATCCCTAAAGAAATTATAACTGACCAAGGAACAAATTTTTATGGCCAGAGAGTGTGCAATACCTTACAGATAAGGCACCTGCACACCTCCATATACCACCCCCAAAACTGATGGCCTGGTCGAGTGGTTCAACCGAACTATGAAGGCCAAGCTTAGGAATGTATTCAGGGGGATTGAAAACAATGAGAGCAAATGCTGCCATCATTAATATTTGTCATATGGGAGGCACCTCAGGCCTGTACCAGATGTTCACTTTTTGAATTGGTGTAAGGATATCAGCCCATGGGCCTGCTGGACATCATAAAGGAAGGCTGGGAACAACAGCAAGCCCTAGGGGCCCAAATCCCTGCATGCCTCACAGACCTTTGGCAAAGGTTATGCAGCATTCAACAAAAAGTGAAGGAAAACCTCTGAAGAGGCCAGACTAGGGAAAAAACCTACTATGACCGCAGGGCTTGAGAAGACACATTTAAAGTGGAAGACAAGGTCCTGATATTACTACCCAACCAGAATAGTCAGCTTCTATCTAGGTGGCAGGGCCTCTTTGAGGTATCATGCCAAGTCGGGCCTATAGATTATGAAGTTATCTGACCAGGGCACAGACCACCCCAACATATATTTCATATAAATCTACTAAAAGAGTGGCAGGATTTGGAGAGCTTCCTAATAACCCCTTTCCCAGATAGCCAGGAGTTAGCACTACCACCAGAGGAGCCTGGCCTCACAGAAGGGCCTATGCTCAGTAAACAGCTCGATGCCACACAACAGTGGCAATTATGAGGGTTAACATGAGAGTACCGCAACATATTCTGCACAGAACCTGGACATGCAAAGGGCTTGGTGCATAAAATTACAACTTCTCCAGGTTGTGTGGTCAGAGAGACGTGGTGGTAGGTCCCTCCACACTTACACAGGTCTATTAAACAGGAATTATGAAAGATGCTAGGCAAGGGGATTATTAGAGAGTCAAGAAGCCAGTGGTGAAGCCCCCTAGTGATCATCCCTAAAAAGGAAGGGCCCCTATGCCTATGTATAGATTTTAGAAAGGTCAACACGTTGGCTATATATCTACCTTGGTTAGTCCATAAGGTGCAAATCTACCATGCCTTTCACAAGATAAACCCAGAAATTTCAAATAGGTATTAATGTAATTCTGAACTGTTGTGGTCTTTCTGAGTTCTTTGCACAGAATTGCTCTATTATTTTTCTGTAGTCAAAAAAAGAGTGAAAGCTAAGAGCTGGCATTCTCTGAGGGGTGTCTTGAGCCTAAAAAGGTTGAGAACCACTGGTGTAGGGTAACAGTATCAAGGAAATCAAGAGTGAATTTGAAAAGTAACAAGTTAACTAAAAATTGAGTGAGATTCACTAAAACTGTGCATATCTCAAGGAGTTAATTTCTGTTCACAATGGGCCCAGAGAAAATTCTCCCATCAAAAGAATAGTTGTGACAGGGAGGTGGAAAGCAAATTGTATTTCCCTTCTTAGTCACATCCACTGTAGGAGGAGGAACTGTTTTTTTCAGATTACAAAACCACAAGCTTAAAAAACAACTATTTGGCAAATGCAAAGTCAGACTCAGTGTCTTCCCACCCATCTGTCGAATTCTGTTCTCTCACTTCCGGACTTCCTTTCTCCATCTGTTAAACCCCTCTCTATTTCTTATCAGCTCTCACTGTGATGAGCAACAAAAAAAGCTTAATGTCCCTGTTTTTATTCCTCTTATTTCTTCCCTATTTGATCTGGTTTCATGTTATTAGCCAACTATTTCCCTGTCATTACTGTAGCAGGACAATGGGAGTACCCTCTTCACCCTTGGTTTTTTACCTATGCCGTGTTATAGGGTATTTTTGGTGCTTGGTAACTAAGTGTGCATGAAGGTTTGAAATGGAAATTTTGGATATTCCTTGGCTGCCTGCAAAAAATGGGAGACTAGATTCAGTGGCCCAGGAGGCCCCCACCATGCACTTTTATTCGTTTTTCATTCGCCACTTTGTCCTAAGAAGGATCTCACTGGATCAGAAAGGAATTAATCAGTTTCCATATCCTTCACCCCTGGACTTCAAGTCACAGTACACAATAAAGAATACCTCTTTTCAGTCAGGGCAGTGTGTATCATATGCTGGTGAGAAATGAACCTGTGTCTGGGATGGTTAGGAATAGTGAATCCTACATTTGTGCAGGGGTTGCCATACATCTGGGTTTTCCTGG